TGGCAGTCTATTTAGGACCCGACCGATCTAGGAAAAATAATATGAGCTCGAGAAAGTCGAACTACGCAACAATACGCTCGATGACACCACGCAGCAGGGAGTCACGACTCTACCAGTAGCTTAAAAGTCTTGGCTTGAAGCGGAAGCATTGCAAGTCGATTTCATGGCGATTGGCAGTCTATTTAGGACCCGGCCGATCTAGGAAAAATACTATCAAGACGAGAAAGTCGAACTACGCAACAGTACGCTTGATGACACCACGCAGCAGGGAGTCACGACTCTACCAGTAGCTTAAAAGTCTTGGCTTGAAGCGGAAGCATTGCAAGTCGATTTCATGGCGACTGGCAGTCTATTTAGGACCCGACCGATCTAGGAAAAATAATATGAGCTCGAGAAAGTCGAACTACGCAACAATACGCTCGATGACACCACGCAGCAGGGAGTCACGACTTACCAGTAGCTTAAAAGTCTTGGCTTGAAGCGGAAGCATTGCAAGTCGATTTCATGGCGATTGGCAGTCTATTTAGGACCCGGCCGATCTAGGGAAAAATACTATCAAGACGAGAAAGTCGAACTACGCAACAGTACGCTTGATGACACCACGCAGCAGGGAGTCACGACTATACCAGTAGCTTAAAAGTCTTGGCTTGAAGCGGAAGCATTGCAAGTCGACTCCACTTTCTCCTCTTGATAGCATTCCAAGCATTACACTGATCTTTCTCCGAAGTCTATTTTAGTCAGTTTATTTTTAGTGCAGTTGTAGTCAGTAAGTGCAGTAGAAGAACAGGAAGACCGAAGCGGCTGAAAATTAATTTCCAGTTGAGCGCAGCAAGTCGGATCATAAGTGTGATGGCTCATCTGCATGCTGCCTGGAACCAGAACAAGGGTGAACTGCTTTATCTGTGATGTATTTGTGACGATTTCAGAGAGGGATAAGAATATTCAAACAACGGCGAGGGTTCGGCGATGGCAAGGCGGGAATAAGCCATATGATTCCAGGTATTTTCTTACTATTAATTTTTCGTGAGACAATGCAAAATGAGATAATGGGACAGGTTAGTTAAGGAAAAGTGGGCGAGTAATTCAGAGGCGACGCTTGATGAGCTCGGGACGGAAGCCTCGCTCGATTCCGCGTTGAACTCGATGCCATGCGCACGCGTCTGGAAAAAAGTGGGCGTCAGATGGAAAATTAGTTGCTTGTATTTAAGTTTTTGCTGAAAAGATTCGAAAGACTACAATTAGTTCGAGACTGGCCATGGTTTAAAATATTGAACACCTATCGGATAATCCCTGCTCTGTGGAGATATTCCTATACCAGGGTTGAAAAGGCCATCCGCGAGCCACCCGTACAGACAGGCGCGTAGGAGGGGGAGGGCAGAGGGGGGGCAGGCTGCCCCTCCCGAAATCCGGCGGTCCCGAAAAAAACGTAAGGGTCCCCCCTTATGATTTTTCTATTTCGAAAATTTTTTCGTAAAAATTTTTCTCGCTGCCCCCTCCGAAATGTCTCTGCCCGTCCCGAAATTTGGGGTCAGCTACGCCCCTGCGTACAGACACCCAATATGCCTTGGCACGGTTTTTTCAACCCTCTTTTTTTTGACAGAATCGGAAAGAGCATAGTCGACTTAGTAGGGTTGCATAGTTTTGAAAGCTTAAAAAGTTGATTTTTAGGGTTTAAATTGGAGTCAAAGTTGCCGATCCTCAAAAATTATCTCGAAAGTTACTGAACCAAATTGATCGAAAATTTGTCAAAGTACCTAATTTGGGATGCTGATCATTTCTCTAATACATCAAAAAGCACGAAAATGAGCGGAACATGGTTAAATCGCGTACCCAAAACAGTTTTTCAGGGTTTTGTGTTTTACGGGTTTTTGGCGGTCCGTTGTAAATAACCGTAAAAGATGCGCAAAAAAAATTCTACGTCGAATGAGGTATTTTATACTAGGCCGACAGAAGCCCTACTCTTGCTATAAAGCATTTACTGTGCGCAAAACAGCCCCCCAAAATGGGTCAAAAACGTCAAAAATGACCAATTTTGAAATCGAATATATCAAACCATATCTACAGAACGGGCTGAGTCGATTGCTGCAAAAAAAAAAGAGAAAAAGGAATATTGCTTTTGAAGGGGGCTGGGATCGAACTGGCGCGGCCCTTGGATTGGTAGGAGAGCACTCTTGCAATCCACCACGGCCCCAGGGAGGGCTTCCAGGCGAAGGGTCCGAGCTCGATTCCTGCCCGGATCTCAGCCTATTTTCAGAAGCCAAATCTCTTTTTGCTCTTTTTTGCAATCGACTCAGCTCGTTCTCTAGATATGGTTTGATATATTCGATTTCAAAATTGGTAATTTTTGAGGTGCCTTGCCGATTTTAACGGGGAATCGGCTTCTGATAGAATGTGAAGTAATGTTTGAGACAACATCGTTAGTGGGTTGGGTAAACCTACCCTGCTCGTCACAGTCGCCGTGGCACGGGATCTTGGAAGTCGGTTGGTCGATCGCGTTTCTGAAGGCAACGGTAACTGCTTTCGCTGCAGGAACCCACCGAAAATTTTTTTTGCACTCCTGGCAAGCAGGAGTGCCGTAAGAGTCGTCGAGTGGCGCCGTTACGCCACATGCGCAGAGGCCCGTCTAAACCACGTCTGCGTAATCGGTAGTGGTAATCCAAAATTTTGTTGCGCTTTGGATGGTGCCCCCCCCCCCAGAACCGAATATTTCCATGCAAAAATCAAACGGACAAATGTCCTTTTTATTGCGCTTTAGGCGTCCCATGGATGGAAACGCCCGGAATAAACAAACATGAAAAAATCGGAACCATGACCTATTTTCTTGACCACGTGAGTCTTGCCCAATTTCGGGGGAAGGGGGCGAGCCAAGCCCCGAAGATAGGTGGCCTGTTTTTACCCGGAAACCCCGCAAGTCGGCCACGGATTTACCAACGGTAGCCAATTTCGAAATTGCTCACAATGCTGCACTCACAATGCTCACAGCACTTAGTTGCTGAATGCGAAAGCAGAAGCCACTACCTCCTTTTCGATTTTTGGCCTGCCCAGACGCGTCGCATTGACGGCCACCTAAAGATCGTATACAGGGTATTCCAAAGAATTAGCTAGCAGAAGGCCCAAATCCAGGTCCCACTGAACTCCGATGATCCGAGGGTAGGAGGCTTTATTGGTCGAGGGGAATTGGTGGCAACTATACTGAAGGATAGGGCAATTCTCTACAATACTTTCGACAGAGCCGAATGGTCTGAAAAGTCCCACACCGACGGGGAAGCCAATTTTCATTTTTAAGGTCAATTTCGGGGATGCGACCCTCTAATTTGCAAGTTATCGCTAAAACATTCGTCTCTCAGTGGATTTTATTAAAAACGCCGTTTTCTCCAAATTGCGGATCAAAAGATAGGAGTAATTGTTTCATGTCAGCGCGGATTTTGCGTGGCTGTTGGCTAAAAATGATCTTCCTGTGTAGGCTAAATCGCTTCCCCGGCTGCGTGCAAATTTTCAGATCCAATCAGGTCCCGCTGGCTACATCTGACTAGTCCAGCCATCCAGTTAGTCTTTCAGGTACTCTGCAAATGAATAGAGCCCGAAACCTAGTAAAAGCCCCCCTCCCGCCCGCCCCAATGGCGGTGGATGGCGGGTTTTCCGTGGCGGTTTGGCCTTCTTTGCTGCCTAGGCCTGAAGAATTTCGAGCGCAGACAAAACATAAGCGTTTCACTTAGCCGTTCGCGGAAGAAAACAGCATCACTGACCAAGGTCTTCTTTGGGGGTCGGCCCCGTTTCTTGGCTTTGGGCGCTTCAGATGGGCGTGGCTGTCTGGCTTCCTGCAAGAAATAAGACTAAGCCGTGTAAATTTGTTGCAAATAACGCCTTAACTAATTTTTTCATCATATTATCGGGAATTTCGGGACACTCGTCGAAAATGGCCCAGAAATCGGCCAGTACGATTTTCGTACAATTTTTATTCCGGGGACAAGCAACATTTTTTTTGCCTTTTTAGCAGGTTAACTCGGGGGGTCAGCTAAAAGGCTTGCTTAGGCGGCCCCCGTATATCCCTTTGACTAGGGCGTTACGGCGGGGAAATGCTAGAAAGACGCCGGGACGCATAGAACAGACTAGAGGAGAAGCCGGAACAGATCCGCATCCTTCAAACCGAATAGTAAAGCCGAAAACGACGTTTTTCGAAACACATCACCAACGAAGGAAAGGCAAAACGATCATTACGTCTCAGAGTCGAACCTGTTGCGCACTCCGGCGCAAAAAGCTCCCCAGACTGGACTAAAAGGAACACAGGGGACAAACGAGAAGCGAGGTGAGTGAAAACCAAGCGCGAGTTCGGCAAAAAAGTTGCAATACCGAACCTAGCCTATGTATTTGTATGCATTAAGTGCGCTTATTCACTCTTGATGCTGACGCCTCGGCCGGGAAACGATGAAGAGGGCGCTTCGATGTCGATCGCTCCCCCCGTGCTGCTCGCATTCAGCTCAGGCATTCAGCTGCCAACTTTCAGTGAAAATGCTGCCAGTTCAAATCAAACATTTTTCTGTTGGTGCAAATGAGTGTGTAGATGCAGTCAGAAGCTGGAGAAAAAAAACGCTTTATTCCACATGACCCATTTCAGAAATGAAATTTCGTTCATCAAAAAGGTGGGGCGTGGAGAAGCTTCGGCGTGCTGCTCGTTGAATCGGCCGGGTCAATGATATGGCGTGCGAGTTACTGAATCAAAGCTTATAGAAAATAATGACGCGAAAATTGATCGTGCTTCGGGACCCGGCCAAGTTTTTGGTAGTTTGCCTAAGCCCAGCGGAAAGCGGGATTTCGCTAATAAAAATGCGTAACGCATTCAATCGCCACTTTCCGACCGGAGCGTGCCTAAACCCAAAAACTTTCTGAACAGCTACTTGTTTCTCCGATAAAATAAAATGATGCTGGATGATAAATAAATACCCACACTAACCCCAAAGAAGCAACAAGAGGCTAATTCAGATGAGGATGTAAATACCTACATTATTCGTCGAGCTAAATTTCAGAAGTCCGGAATCATCCGACAGCTTTGGGTCCTTGCGAGCGTCTTTGACGATCTCGTAGATCTGTAACCCAACGTAAGATATATTCTAATTTCTTTTTCTAGCTTTGTTAACTCTTACGAGAGGTGCTTGGCGAAGTTTGTCGCCCGGCGACGACACAGATGGAGAGCTGGGAGTAGAATCTGGCCCCTTCGCCTTGCGTACGGCTTCAGCCGCCGTCTTCAATATTACAATCTAAACAAATCGCCTGTACTCAATTAAATCGGGGGGTCGACTTAAAATATTGGTCATCAAGAAATTTTTAGATATTAATTATTGATTAATTATTGCCCTGATGCTTACAAAGCCATCTTCTATCTTTATTCTATCTAAATCGAAGCATATCAAAGGCTGAAAACGATTACGCAAGAAAAAATAAAAAAACCAAATCTAGGCTTTCAGAAGATTTTTTACCTGGGCCTTCAATTCGTTGATCGTCTTTTCGTTGGACTCGATTGCTGTGCCCTCCTTTTTCAGCTGAAAAGTAGTCAGCAAAGTATAGAAGTATTTTTGTACTCACGTGCTCTTGCGCATCAGTTATCGTCGTCTTCATCGCGGTCAGCGTGTTCTCAAACTCTGCGCATGTGCCGAGCAACTCGGGGAGCTCTTGGACGCAAATCTAAAAATTCCGGGTCCGTTACCATAGCAAAGCCTACATCCGCGATATCGCGTGTGGCCCATCCCACACGGAGCTCGGCTAGACGCCTCCCCTCTGTCCGGAACAGCTTCAAAAACTAAACAGCCATTATATGCCCAGCTGAGTAATGTTACCTTCCCGGGCTGGTCAAGCATCGGTTTTTCGCGGACAGCGTCTTCATCTGCTTGTGTGTCGCCGACACCACCAAAGACTCGTTCGTCTTGTACGTCCTGCAACGAGCATAGCCAAATATTATCATTTTGGGCAGCGGTGCCCTCACAAAAAAGGTAGAAAATAGGCCAGATTTTTACGTCTAGTTCGAAACACTTCCTCTATCTATCTTCGCAAAATTTGATCTTAAGGAAAAAGTTCGTCCACGAGATATTGCGAAAACATCCTTTGCTTCAAAAACCTGCCTTGAATTCCACGATTCTCGCAGCTTGTGGGTTGTCGTCGTTGTATTGCTGCGCTTGTCCCCTGCTACAACACATTCCACAGGAAAAAGCCGCCACTAAAAACTGAATTATTGCTCAGCCGGATACTGGTCACCGAGGCAGCGAATGTAGAAGCCGAAACCACGGGCCTCGACGGACGCTGGCGAGGAAGGCGGGACGATAGACGGTGGAGATTTCGCGTGCGCGACCACGACACGAGCGGGCTTCTGCAAAAAAAAAGTGGACTGCAACTAAACCAAACGCAATAAAAATTTTATCTAAAGAACCTACGCATTCATCCCTGGCAATCGTCTGCAGCAGCTTCGGATTTATCTCATCACCAGTTGAGCCGTCGCTACCCTTGCGAGAACGGATCTCCTGTAATCAAGGCATTAACTTGATGGGATGAGGGATGAATGAGGCAGCGAAAGTAGAAGCCGAATCCACGGGCCTCGTCAGACGATGATGAGGAAGTCGAGAGGATAGACGGGGAAGGTTTGGCCTGCTGTACGACGACTTGGGCGGGGATCTGCAAAAAAAAGTGGACTGCAACTAAACCAAACGCAATAAAAATTTTATCTAAAGAACTCCTCTATCTATCTTCGCAAAATTTGGTCTTAAGGAAAAAGTTCGTCCACGCGATATTGCGAAAACATCCTTTGCTTTAAAAACCTGCCTTGAATTCCGCGATTCTCGCAGCTGGTGGGTTGTCGTCGTCGTATCGCTGCGCTTGTCCAGTGCTACAACATATTCCACAGGAAAGTGCAGCAACTAAAAACTGAATTATTGCTCCGGCGGATACTGGTCACCGAGGCAGCGAATGTAGAAGCCGAATCCACGGGCCTCGACGGACGCTGGTGAGGAAGGCGGGACGATAGACGGTGTAGCTTTCGCCTGCTCGATCACGACACGAGCCGGGATCTGCAAAAAAAAAAGTGGACTGCAACTAAACCAAACGCAATAAAAATTTTATCTAAAGAACCTACGCTCCTGGGCTCGCATTCATCTTCATCAACCGTCTGCAGCTGCGGGGGGATCGCCTCGTCATTGGAGGCGTCGCTACCCTCGTGAGAACGAATTTCCTGTAATCAAGGCATTAACTTGATGGGATGAGGGATGAATGAGGCAGCGAAAGTAGAAGTCGAATCCACGGGCCTCATCAGACGATGGTGAGGAAGGCGAGAGAATAGACGGGGAAGGTTTGGCCTGCGGAACGACGAGTTGGGCGGGGATCTGCAAAAAAAAAGTGGACTGCAACTAAGCCAAACGCAATAAAAATTTTATCTAAAGAACCTACGCTCCGGGGCTCGCATTCATTCCTGGCAACCGGCTGCCGCTGCGCAATTATCTCCTCGTCATTGGAGCCGTCGCTACCCTCGTGAGAACGAATTTCCTGTAATCAAGGCATTAACTTGATGGGATGAGGGATGACTCCGATTAAAAACAACTAAACGCAGCAAAGATTGTTTACAAAAGAAATTCCTGAGAGCTGAACGGTGACTTCGACATTAGACGGGCTTCCGAAGGCAAAATCCGATAGCTGATGAAGTGCCTGTAATCATGGCGGTAATGGGTTGAGGGATAACTTTTAATAACAACCACCAAAAACAAACAAAGATGTTCAAAAACCTGCCGATTGGCTGGCGCTACTCCCACCAGCGGGTCGGCCGAGTTTTGCGACAAGCTGATTCTTCTTGCTCGTCAGCTGGAAAAAATCTGTGTTCAGCGCAAGGCTCAGACCGTAGCAATTTCCGTGTTTTGAATAGCCAGGATGAAGCGGTTCGCCTCGCTCGACTTGTGGAACTAAAAGGTAGAAGTTGCAGATGTACATTTTGTTATATATGTCGTGATTACTACAGTCATACTTGGGTGGTGAGTCGGCAGAGCTGGCTCATCAACTTCGGGGCTGTTTTGTCGTATTGAAAGAGATCGTGTTTGACAAGTGGACCGGGATCCTGGAAAGCCGATTGAACTTTGGTCCCGCAGTCAATTGCGATGAGGGTTAGACACCGCCATAACGGCAATATCATCACGAAACCGACTCACCGAGGCCATCCGGGCGGATCGATCGATAGATGGGACGGCTGGATCTTTTTGCGAAGTTTCTCCATTTTTCGTCGTTTAGAAGTCGTGATGCAAATTCATATTTTAAAATTGTATCTTTACCCAAACAACCCATAAACGTATTATTATTATTATTGATGATTGTATGAAATTCTCAGCATAGCGAGAAGCCGGCATTTCTACAAAGCTCAGCCTCGTGCTTTTCTTATTCTTTACAATATTTAATCCATCTTTTTTAATTAAACTTTTTGGTTTTAACCGTTGATAAACGGCGCTTCAAAGTCTAACGATTTGGCTTAATCGTTTCGGTGGCCGTTGCTTTTAAATGGCGTGATGAAGCGGGCACCGGATTCAGTGGCGCGCGGCGGGACCCGGCGGTGCCGAGGCCGCCGGCAGCAACGGTCCGTGAAGGGGGGCTGACGGCACACCTGTTCGTCCCGGCGCGACCGGATTCTGTTTGCCGACGGGTGCACCCCGCGCCAGCCGAAAGCGCCGCGTAGCTCTTGCCGACTGTCCGCGCACGGCCATTTCTTGTTTTTACGCGCTTCACTAACAATTTGTAAAGCTAGGTGCGTTGATCAACTTTCTAGACGCTTGCATACCGCTTGGACGAAATTCGGCGCTTTTTTCGACCCGGCTCGGTTGGACACCGACAAAAATATACAGCCGTAATCCTGATTCTCTCTTTTTTCAAAATTTCTGTAGACGTTGAAAACTAGAGATAGACAGGCCCGAAGCGGCTAATTTGAAGATTGTGTAGCTTTCCGTCGTTTTCGACCCGTTAAACTTGTGTTAAAACGGCAATAGTGAATTAAAAACGCAGGAAATTGATCAGGAACGTCGACTATATATCGATGCGGATTTTGAGCCCGATCTGACTCCGGATAGGAATTATTCTCTCTTCTTCTTCTTCTTCTTCTTCGCATGAAAACACAGGGATTGCCCGCCTTTTTATGAGAATCTACGCGCTAGCTTGTCTGCATGAAATAAGCCTCGAATTTGTTAGCTATTCCCGATTCTTTGTTGATAATTGTCCACTTTTCGAGCATCTTCCCTTTTTTCTGTACGTTTTACGTAAATTTTCGAAAGATGCGCCTTTTTATGAAGTAGAAAATTGTTCTTGTTCTTGACAGTTACCTAAACGCGCTGAAAATCCCAAAACTCAATTTGGTAAACAACCGGGCTGATTCGTTGAAAGGCCGTTGTTTACAATCCGTGGGAGAAAGGGGGTTCGGGTGACGCGTTCGTTTTCACTCTTTAGAAACCTCTGCAGGCTAATCGCCCAAACCTTTGGCGTGTGTCATCACGTTTTCTCGGCCTTGGCTTCTTCTCCTAGTGTTGAAATTTTGGATTCTAGGTCCTTCTAAAAAATTGTGGCGGAAACGGCCCGTTTCTTTTCCTGCATCTTCTCGATTTTACCGAATTTTTTTCGCTTTCTGGGTTTTCCATACTGGTATCATTTTGTCCGGTGGTAATTCCTATTTTTCAGGGGTGCACCCGGCGATGAGATGGGCACCGGACTACGACTGGACAAGGCGCTGCTAGAGGTTTGTTTTTCTGATCCTGCCATGAGTTAGAAGTATCCGAAAATTTTGCAAATTACCTTCTTTAGGTGCTGGATGCCGCCGACCTGCAGGGCTTCCGACGGCAGCTCTGCCACGAGCTCCAGCTCACGAAGCTCGAGCACTTCGAGCACGCGAAAGAGCGTGACCTGCAGGTGCGAATCTTGTTTTTTAATTGACTTTCATTGAGTGACCTTTTTTAAGAGGATCTCATAAACGCGGAAAACTCGAAATTGGTGTTAAAATGATTTTTTAAAGATTTTACTCCCCTCTAAGAAAGTCTAAAAGCTGAAGACTGAAAATTAGTGTGATGAGAGTTTCCTACACGAAAACCCATTGTTGTTAATTTGATTTTCAGAACGTCGGCCTCTCCCTGCCCGCAATCCGTCGATTGCGTGAAGCGATCCAGGAGAAGAAGCGGGAACTGAGGCGACATCCGGAACGGGCTGCCCTCACAGTCCAAGTGCCGATCGACGATTCCCGGCTGCCGCCAGAACTCTCGCAGCCGGGCACAAGCACGATTCAAAAAGAACAGGTGGGACGGTTTCTAACGATCGCTATACCATAATTTCGTTGTTTTCGCTTTTTTTGAGGGGTGGAATTAATGCGAACACTGTAATACATTTAATATAACTATCCTGACGGCCTAATGCTTGTTTTCCAGATCAAACTCCTCGAGAAGCTTGGTGAAGGCACGTTTGCCGTGGTGAAACGAGCCTATTGGACGACTCCTAGCGGCGAGAAGCTCGATGTTGCCGTCAAGATACTTAGGTTTGTTGTTTTTATGTTTAAAAAAAGCTCTGAGTTTTCTATTTTGTCGCCTTTCGGGTGTTGTTCCGGAATCTGGGCTTTTCGAAACCGGCTCGCCATACCTTTCTTCGTTTCTGACGCCCTTGTTAAAAACATTTCTTCAGGGATGCCTCGGATATGGTGATGGAAGATCTACAACGAGAAATCGACAGTCTGCAGAAACTGAAAAACCCGAACCTGATTCGACTCTACGGCGTGGTTTTGGATGCGGGCTGGATGGTCAGTTTTTCAACCGTCTTCTCCCGCTGCGCTTCTGGGGGGCTGCTGCCAACTTGCTGCCCCCCCCCATGCGGTGGCTTTTCGGCGATATTGTAGTTTTGCGATGCGAATTAGCGCATTCGACAGGGCTTAAAATTCTGCACAGGTACCAGCTTAAAAAACCGCGGAACTTTAACGGCCTTCGGAGACATTTTGCAGCAAAATTTTTTCTCATCGCCGAGTTAAAAATCAGCCATTTCACATAAAATCTTCGAAAAAACCATAGTCGTGCAGCAGTTTTTGACAGACGTGATTCGTGCGGTTTTGAAGCTCTATCGGACGAGCTAGATCACATCTTTAAAGGCAATATCACCTGAAAACCACCGATTGTATGGCGCTGGTCATTTTGCGGCCGTGACAAATTCAGAGCCCCACCCTTTACCATTTTTTTTTGCTGTGCCGATGATTCAGCCCCCAAAATCATGACTAACCCGTAGGCGACGATGACGCATTTTTTGCAGGTTACACATGTTTGTTTGCTGACTTTAGCGGCTTCTAGGACAAACCCGAAACTTGCAATATTTTCGCACCCAATCTGCGCTATCAATAAGTGGCCAGCGCGAGAATCGATCCGGATTTCACGGGCGCCGCCGCCGGGATTCATGGGCCGAATTGAAACCTGATAAAGGGAGTGACCGGCCTGGAATGGCGGCGAGTACGACGCGCTGCTTGTTGACATTTTGTACGCTGGCGGGGGACTTGTAAAAATCGGGGGCGAGATGACGCAGAAATATTTTTATGAATTGCTAAATTTTGAAAAAAATTGTGTGAAAACTGCGACAGGGCCGACGAAAATTACTAGCCTGGTAATCAGAGTTTCAGGGTTGCGGAATTACAACAAATTCTGCTGGAAAAGCCGCGCCAGAGCCTCTTGAATGACCATAGTGATAACTAGAGCGCGATTTTGCGGGTTTTCTTTGATTTTTAAAGCTCAGCAAGCTTAAAAAGCGAAAGCGTACTGCTTTTACTCGCAACTTTTGCTGGCGGCTGATTTCCGTAACCTTGCCACCTAACGGAACCGGTCGCCGTGGAACCGGGGGAAGGAGTGTGGCGCGGAAAAAGCCGAAAAGGGAATGGACGGCTTGAAGAATAGTGAATCAGCGCCGCGAAGCCCCCTCGAGGCTCTTTGCCGAAAGTCATAGGGGGGTGTTGGTTTAGTTTGGGGAGCGAATAATCTTGTTAAAACTGGCTACGGCTAGTTTTCTTTATAGCATTGGCTTGGAAAATTGGGTTTTATTTAGAATTTTGCCCTAGTTTCTTTGCTTTCTTCAAGGCAATCGGTCCGGAAAGCAGATTGAATAGCGTGAAAGGGAATCTCTAGAAAAATACCGTCGAAACTGTCAAAAAATATCCAAATTTTCAACCCCAATTTCCAGGTGTTCGAACTATGCGAAGGTGGCAGTTTGCTCGACCGACTCCGGGATCGAAAAAAGGCGCAGCTGCTCGTTTCATCGATGCTCGAGTATTCGCAACAGGTATCTGGAGCAATATCGGCCTTTTTCCCTTCCTTAGATCACGAAGGGCATGGCCTACCTGGAGAGCAAAAAATGCGTGCACCACGACAGCGCCAGGAATATCTTGCTGTCGACGGATGAGCGGGTAAAT